CCTTATTCTTTAGAACTTCCTCTAACCGTTTCTGCAAAAATTATAAAAATCGGTTAAGTAGTTGCTGAGTTATTTGCATTGCAATTCAACGATGGTCCGAAATACGCGTCCTGCTCGATTCTGGGCGCCTATTACCTGAAAATGAAAAACCCCACAAAAATTGATCTTTTAAAAATGGAATTTTTTTGTCATAACTGCCAATGTATGTATGTGTAAATACTTCCTGTTGGGTGCTGGGCGCCTATTACCTGAAAATGAAAAACCCCACAAAAATTGATCTTGTAAAAAAGTAAATTATGCATAAATCACAAACAACTCCACATATATATATCTATGTTATGTCGACGAAATGTTTTTGACCTAAAAGTATGCTATACACTCTTTACAACCCAGCAGCAGTCATTCTGAAACTTTGTCGTTTTTAAAATACCGATTTTTGAGGGTTTTTCTTTTTTAGGTAATAGGCGCCCAGCACCGAATAGAAAGTATATTTTGAAGGATGGTACAATTCAAATTCTAATAACTCAGCAAATACTTAACCGATTTTTATAATTTTTGCTGATATGGTAAGAGGGGATATTGAAATTTTCTCACATATAGAAAACATATATAAAACATATATAAAATGGTTTTGTATAAGAGAAAATACATCGCATTTTGTAAAAGTTCCCGGATATGTAAAATATCGACTTTTTCTTTTTTGTATGTCAGCTAAGTAATGTAGCCGAAAAGGGGGGAACTATGAACTAACCTCAACAAATACCAAATCAATTGAAAAAAATGTGAGCTTAGATATTTGTTGTATGATATTACCGTACCAGTGAAGCAACGGATTGGTCGAAGTGTAGAGAAAATCGATGTAGTAGCAAATTAAATACGAAAAAGCCAATTCCATGTTGTTCTCAAAAATTATGCATCATTCAAATTGTCGTGCAGGATGGCATACATCTGCGCAGAAAATTATTGGTATAGGTCCATGTTTTGACTTAGCCCCCATATAAAGGTCCCACTTCATTTTCGGTTTTTGAGAGTTTTTTCAACCGAAAGGGATATAATTTAGCACTTAGATCAAACATCTGCGCAGAAAGTTATCAGTATAGAACCATGTTCTGACTCCATATAAAGGTCCCACACAATTTTCAGTATTTTTTAAAAGTTGCTAAAACACACCATCTATAATTTGAAAAATACATAAAATCTGTCAGTTGTCGGTCGACAAGGACTATGTAAAAATGATTTACATTGTAGATTTTCTGTCCAAGGAATTTTTTAGAAATACATATCCATGTACTTTTACTTTAATTAAATTTTCTGAATGTGTAATAAAGCATCGAAATTTCCACCAAAATATTCTTAAATTAAAAAAAAAAAAAAACAGTAAGGAAAGGAGTATAGTCGGACTGGGCCGACTATATAGTACCCTTCACCACTTTGGGTATATTTTACATATGTCTCCTAACAGACTCCGCCTTTTCGAAAGAATGTTGGCATCAAATTGTACGAACTTGAATATAAGATCTTTACGCCTTTCTGGAACCTATGCTAGATTTCATTTCATTGAACCGATTTTCACGGACGAAATATATATGAGAGCAATATCTAAATCTGGAACGATTTTCACGAAGCTTATCGCACATCATTCTACGCTATGCCAAATTTCGTGTAAATCGAAAGATATATAGGGGCATTGGTGCACTATTTACATAGAATCGGACGAAAATATATATCGTCAGCTAAAATGCAAAAAGGCGTAACTAACAAAAAAAATGAAAATTGAATTTTTGAATGTATATTGTGAATGCCAATAAACTGCATGTGTTGACAAAGTATTACACGTCTGCGGTCATAAATGGAGCTTCTATTAACAAAAAACAAAAAGACGTAACTACAAGTGGGATTATTTGATAATTGCAAAAAGGCGTAACTAACAAAAAATTCACGTTTTTACTTAATTGTTATGACTGCCATTAAACTAAATAACTAAATCTTTGTTGTGTTAGTTCGGCTGTAGGCTTTTTAAAAGTAAAAATCGTTTCTAATTTTGATTTTTAATATTTAATGTTTCCAATATTTCGATTGGATTCTCCAATCATCCTCAGGGAATTGAAGAAAGTTATGTTGTCTTTAAGTCAACGTTCTTACTTCAACTAAATTTGTTAAAAAAATATAGTCTATTATTCGTCATATGCAATATCACCCTGCCGGGCATACTTTTTAATTTCACATGACATGTTTATAGTTTTCATTCAAAACAGTTTTTTGCTTCTCCTACACAATTATGCATTTGTTAGTTACGCCTTTTTGCATTTTAGCTAACGATATGGAAGCTATATCTAAATCTGAACTGAATTTCACGAAACTTTGCACACATTATTCTAGACTTAATTCAGTACGCTGTGCCAAATTTCGTGTACATCAAATGCTATACAGGGACATTGGTGCACACTTTACATAAAATCGGACGAGAATATATATGGGAGCTATATATAAATCTGAACCGATTTTCATGAAACTTTGCACACATCACTCTAGGCTCAATTCAGTACGCTATGCCAAATTTTTTCAAATCGAACGATATATAGGGACATTGGTGCACCATTTATATAAAATCGGACGAAAATATATACGGGAGCTATATCTAAATCTGGACCGATTTTCACGAAACTTTGCACACATCATTCTAGACTCAATTTAGTACGTTGTGCCAAATTTCTTACAAATCGAATGATATATAGGGACATTGGTGCAGCTTTTAATGAAAATCGGAATCGGACTATATATGGGAGCTATTTCTAAATCTGAACCGATTTTTCCCAATTTCAATAGGGTTCGTCCTTGGGCCAAATAGGTGTCCTATGCCAACTTTAATCCAATTCGGATCATAAGTGCGACCTGTACTTTGTTTACAATTTAACATGGACAGACAGACGGACGGTAAGTGGTTTTATGCATATCCTCAAAAGGAACCATGTGTCTATTTCGTTTCTTTTTGCCTGCTACAAACATATGCACGAAGACACAATACCCTGTACCACAGTGTGGTGAAGAGTATAAAAAACTTGAACCATTATTTAAATCTATACATCCTAGTCAAAGTCAGTGCAAAATTTGAAAGCTCTATCTTAAATATTGTAATCGTTATCACGAATTCACTAGACATGGCTCAATCGACCTAGAATTTTATTATAATCAACGACGAAAATTTTTCCTAGTGGTGGGTGATATGAAAACGCTCAAGAATTCCCTCTATCCAATTCTGAAAAAATTATAAAAATTGGTTAAGTATTTCCAGACCAGGAAGTATATTTCGGAGCATGGATGAATTGAAAAGCAAATAACTCAGCAACCCTTTAACCGATTTTTATGAAATTATCAGAACTGGTTGGAGAAAAATATCCTGTAGATTGTAGATGGATGTCAATAGACCCCCAAAAATGCTATGACTACGCTCATAGCATCTTTGGGGGACTATTGACATCAATCAGGACCTAATTCAGTACTCTGTGCAAAATTTTGTCTCAATCGGACAAATATTGGCAGTATGGTGCTCCATTTACATAAAATCGGACGAAACTAAATATGGCTGCTATTTCTAAATCTGAACCGATTCCAACAAAACTTCACATACATAAATCTAGAACCAATTCAGTACGCTGTGCAATTTTTTGTTTCAATCGGAGAAATGTTGGCATTTACATAAAATCGAACGAAAATATATATGGGTGATATATCTAAATTTGAACCGACTTTCTCGAATTTTAATAGGAATCGTCCTTGGCTCAAATAAGTGATCTGTGCCAAATTTCATCCAAATCGGATTAAAAATGCGACCTGTGCACAAAACTACATGGACGAAGAGACTGACGGACATGTATAAATGGACTCAGAAAGTGATTCTCGATGCCTGTTACAAACATATGCACAAATACATAATACCCTGTACCTCAGTGTGGTGAAGGGTATACTGATTAATATTGGTTTTCGATACGATTTTAATTTGTTAAGGGGGGTCGTAATATAATCAGGTTTTTATCGTTTTTTATATTAAAAGTATTTTCATACAAAGCAATATATATATATATATATTAAATTATTTTTAATTTAAATTTTCAAATCGAGTTCTTTAATTTTATTTTTTATGTAGGAACTTGGGAAGGTATCCAAATGACATGTTCCCCACTGTTTATATGGGATATCTGTTAATGGGTTCTGCTGAAAATTAGTACGAAAAACAATGTTATGAAGGAAGAAAAAGTCAAAAGTGTTTTTTTTTTTGTAATTTTTTTATATTTTTTTCTGTATTATTTTAATTTTTTATTTTCAATAAAATTATAAACTTATAATCAAAAATCACTTAAATTTAAGGAAAATGTCTAAATTAAACATTTACGACATTCTACATACAAAAAAATTTTGACAACTTCTATCGATTCTTCAACGTATCTATATGTGTTGATATCTATTACAGTGTTTTTTTCTTTTCTTGTTCAGTTTTTCATAAAGTTTTAATTCTCTGTAAGCTTCATTAAACAATTTCTCAAACACAAATAAGAAGAAAAAGGAAATGTTTTAACAAAAAAATTAAAAAAAAATAAAATAACAAACAAAAAAATGCAAGATGCTTTTTTACAAGATAAAGATAAAAAAACAAAAAAAAATATATATAAATAAACAAAAAACGAAAAAGAAGATGATAATAAAGCTTCCACAGAGAAGAAATTTTAATAATTTCAAGTTCGATATTTACTTTTATGTTCATTTATACGGTTTCCCACGACAACATGGAAAACTTCTTAACTTGTGTTTTCTTTTCTTTTTTTTTTTTTGTAATTTTTTGTTTAAGAAGAAGGAATCTTAATAGGGATAGTTGTTGTTCGTTTAGTAGAAAAGTGTCTTGTTTCATGTTGTAATGTTTTTGTTGTTGTATTGCTGTTCTTTTTTTGTTCTGTATTGGTTTTTTGTAGTTGTGTTTACTAGTATGGGTGTGTCGTGTAGATATGTTGATTGATCGGTTGGTTGGTTGGTGTTAGTTTGTGGCTGTGCTGGGAGTTAATGTGGAGAAATTATGTTGTGATGTTGTGGTGATAGGGGCTTATGAGGAGACAGCACCCTTGGCTACACCCTTTTTACGGCCTTCGCCTTGCAGACCAGCTAAGAGTTCACTTTTGCGGATGCTCTTCAAATCCAAATCGCCGTAGTAGTCCTCGCTGTAATGTAGAGGGATTTTTTTATGTGAGCGGTTAAGGACTGTAGGTAAGGTTTATGATTCTATTTATGATTTATCTAAATTTTAAGTTTTTTTTTTGTATTTCCAATATGGTGAATTTTGTTCTTCGATATGAAATATTGAAGTGTGTAAGATGCACAGTGATTGTATAGATATATAAAAATAGTAAAATGCAATACAAAAAAGAGAAAGCAAGCAGCGGAGTTTAAAATATCAAAAATAAGTGGCATAGATTATTTGACAATGGGAGACAATTTTGGAGAAAGGTATTTTGCTGCGAATACTCCACAATCTCCTAACAAATAACTATAAATGTATCTGCTTATCGAGCACTGTGTAATATTCCCAAGCAAACCTTTATCCTCATTTCATTTGTGAAAGTTGCAGCAATTGAGAATTTCCGAAAACTTCTCCCAATGGAAGAGTTTTATCTTTAACGGATATTTTTGTGATTCCCAATAAAGCATAGTGTATAATTCATTCAAGATGTGTGTTTCATCAAGTAAGCCTTAAAAGCTACCGCTACCCAAAAAAAAAATTATAGAAAAAACAAAGAGAAGAAAATAAAATATAGCACTTACCATCCGGGAACATCTTCAGGATCTTCACAGTTGCCACTGCCATCACTGTCACCAATTTTGAATACAGTACCAATGGGGCAACCATATTCACGAGCAACACCTTCCAAGCAAATGTAGTATTTACGGCAATCTTCGGGGTGAGCATGTCTGGAGAATGAACCAGCATTGGCCAATTCACCGGCAGCGGGGCAAGCGAAACCATTGGCAACTTCTGTTGATAGAGAAAAACAATAACGGATTAGTAAAATATTTTTGTTTGTATTTTTAGTAGGGATTTACCTTCGTTTTTACATTCTGGAACTTGATCGGCCCACATACAGACACGAGCATCACGATCGTAAGCCAAACCGGGAGAACATTGATATCTAGAGGGTTCACCGTTCCAGCAGTTCCAGAAGACATCACATTTGTTCTCATCGGGGAAGATACCGTACAAGCGGGAACAGTGGGGTGTGGAAATTGGGGGTTCTGAAAATGACAAATTAAAAAGAAATGAATAATTAATTAGAAAATATGATAATGAGATACAATTGAAGAAATATTAGTGAAAATTGAGGGTTGGGGAAATCTTATTTGCATATTTATTTGATATGCACCTAAAAGTACGCACCACCTCATTATAAATTCCAATAACTTTTACAATGGAATAATTTAAAGTATTTGTGCCAAATTTATGCACCACGCAAAAAAACTAATTTAAATAATATTTTAATCCAATAGAAACTGTTGTAAATGGGTACACAAATTTCCGTTCCTAAAAGTATGCACCATTCATGTTGATTTATATACAGATCACCTGATTGTAAGATGATTAGAAATAAAATTAAAAAATGGTTTGGCATCTTCTTATTGGACATGATTGAATTCTAATTCCTGAAAATTCTAATTCATATGTGCTGAGATTTTTGATTTTTTAGGAACCTAATTGGTGTACTTTTAAAATCGTGGGATAACATAAGTTTATTGCGTGATTTTCTTATAGATTCTTTGGATCATTTTAAATTATATAAAAAGATTACGGCCAAATATATAAACTCCTGCCATAACTGGATACTGTATAGTTTATGCGGCCTGCAACACATGTTAAAAATCTTTTGATAAAAATTTTGGTTTGAAACAATTCTATTACAGAATACTCTAGAGCTGTGCCTAAAGGTAGGCATAATATGGGCATAGAATTACGAATTTTCAATTTCAGTTTTAAAATAGTTCAAATAGTTATACCCTACACAACTATGTTGTCAGGGTATTATAGCTTTGTGCAGCCCCAAATGTTTGTAACGCCACGAAATATTGGTCCTAGACCCACCTTTAAGTATACCGATCGTCATATCTCGACTAGCTGAGTCGATCTAGACATGTTTGTCCGTCCGTCCGTCCGTCTGTCCATTATAATTTGTAAACAGTTATGGACCAATCTTCACGAAATTTTGCATGTAGGATGGGTTCTGGTCAATGAAGACCCCTATTGTTTTTGGAAAAGATCGGTTAATATTTAGAGGATGGAATGGACCAAATACTAAATTTTTGTCGGTTTTTCAGAGGCCGCAATTATGGCCTAAACACCGCGAATTTTTGCATGGAGAAGGGGATCGGGCCAGAGAATAAGCATGTGTTTTGATAAAGATTCAAATGGAACTTTTGTGTGAAGAATGACAAAATTTGTATTCTATGGCATATATATTTACTCCGGGCGGATGTAGCCCCGAGGAGTGGTTGGCCTTTAAATTGTTACCAAATATAGTGATGTATCTACTCAGATGTGGGAGTTACAGTCAAATATTTACAGGTGCTTATGTATTCAGATATTATTTAGTAACCCATTACCACATTAGAGGGAGAAATATCGCGCTGATGGCTTTGAAATTTTTCATGAAGTTCCAGTTATAGTCAAGAACAACGCCTACAATTTTCGGTGATGATCAGGATAAAATTTTGGGATGAAATGGACGGAAAACATAATTTGTTGTGTGTTTTCGAGTAGAGTATAATCCGAAAATCACAACACAACCCACCGTGAAGGTAATCTGGACAAGTAATTAGAAGGACTGTACTTAATATTCGAAAAAAGTAAGAAAGAGGTGTTGTTGACCTCTAATCGGACAAGAGGGGGCAAATATCACGAAATACTACTCAGACTCGGAATAAACATCCTCAGAAAGTTAGAGTTCGTGGTAGTTGTGTAGGGTATCGTATGGTCGGCCCCGTCCGACTATACTGCTCCGCTCACTGGTTTCATTTTATAGTCGAATATTTGGCGTTACAGCAGCTCTGCTGTATTTCAATAATAATCTCATGTGTTTTCAATTTTATGAAATTTTGCTGATTGTCCTAAAAGTATGCATCACACACTAAATATTTAATAAAGTCGCTCATTTAAGCTCCTCGTTTAGTATGGTAATGGAAAATCGTCATCCCACAAATATTTACTAGAAATCCTACTTAAGTTTAAATTTACAATTGTATTTTACCCTCAAAATAACAAAAATTCTGGAAAATACAGGTCAGACAGATCCTTAGCTTTATGTGCAATTTCAAAACATGAAGGTTTTCCCTTAAACCACTATAAACCACTCCACTGGAGTAGTAGCAGCAAAGGTCCTTGGGCTAATTTTTATCTCATTCTAAAATTCTGCTGAACTCTTTCCCATTGGAATGTCTTAATGATTTTACAGATTTCACTTCTTTCTTGACTTAATATGGTTGGGTATTTAATATTTTATTTTATCTTTATTAAATTTATTTTCATTTCCCCACTTACCCAATTGTGTACGGTCACCGCAATCAACATTGTGCAAGTAGTCACAGTTTTCAGTCAAATATTTTGGATCGGAGGCATCGAAAGCCAAACCATTACCGCAGGTCTTCAATTCAGCCACATTGTTGTCACACTTCCAGTATTTATCGCAGGAAATGTCATGGGGATAAAATCCGAAATCATCGGGACATTTGAATGATTCCTGGGCAACAGCTATAAAAAAGAAGAACAAACATTACATTATTATTTATTCACATAAAAGAGGATTGCAATTAAATCAATATGCGTAATTTATTACAGAGAGAAAACAAAATGAAAAAATGCAAAAACACATATATATACACAATGATAAAACCAACAGAAGTGTCAAAACTAATTAAAAATTATATTATAAACTGTGAGAACATCATCATACAATTAATTAACAGTTCATAGATAACCAAACAACAACGACAGCATTTGAGAGCATTGACAACCATCGAATAAACTTGCATTGTAATGTCAATGACAGTCGAGAATGATGGTAAAAAAATATATATGAACAAACCATTAGATGAACGATTGGGGAATATAAATCAATTGGCGGGGGAGGGGAACGGATTGGCACAAAACCAATATCAAATGACAATAACAAATAGTTAAACATTGCATTATATTTATGAATTAATAAAATATACAACGAGAAGAGGATAATGTGTGTGTGCGTTCGCTAGAAATGAGTATTGGGGTGGAACTAAACACAAATTAGGAAAGGGAAACTTTGCAAGCCCCAAAAATATAATTTTTGGATTTTCAATTTTGAGCTAAATACTTTGGAATAATATTTATCTGTTTTACGATCCACCCTTTTAATTCGCATGTACTCACACATAATTGATTGTTTACATTTTGCGTTTTTGCGGCAAATGATTATTTGACAGTGACAGTAAGTAATATGTGCGAATATGACAAACTACAAACAAATATGAATATTATAATTTTGTAATAAGCCTATCATTTGCGATGTCATGCAGCGAAATGACAAAAAAGAAAAGCAATTGAAATTACCAGGACTTGAAATATTCGACATCATAAATGTTTGCATATACACACATACACACTCACAAACATACATAAATCTACATGCAGATAATTACACATATTCGCAATTAGTCTAATAAGTGTTGGATAGTTTTCAAGGATTAAATTATGCAAATATGTACACAAAATTACACACACACACATACACTCGCACTTATGAATTGAAATGTATGAGCGTGTGTGTGTGTGTGCTAGTATGTTTGGCAGCTTGTTTTAAAATTTGTGTGTGACCACAAATGTATTTTTAATTAATTATTGCAAACTAACACACAATTTTGACATATAATTTCACATTACGCGTGATTAATTGGATAAAAGCGGGGGCAATATTTAATAATTTAAGTACATATATTTATGTATGTGTGTAGAAGTGTGTGTGTGTGAGCGGACATCCATTACGATTATTATTTAAAATACAACAATGACAGCGCATAAAAGCCACTATACAATTTATTATTATAGCCATAGTTAGTGTATAAAATTTAAATTAACATTTAATCCAAATAGTAAGTAATAGTTGTGTGGGGAGAGGGGATAATATAAGTAATATGAAAGTATTAAATTAGGGAAATTACAAGCTTAAGGTAGTGTTGTGGATTAGTGCAAAGTAAATACTTTTTAATCATGGTATTTATTTAGTTTAAAATTCATTTTATTTTTTCGAACACACATTTAGGTGTAATTTTTGTTGTCGAAAGAAAGATTAAATCAAAGAGCCTAAAAGTAGGCATCAAACATTATTATTATGAAGATTTAAAATTTGTATTGTACTTTTCAATATATTTTCAGAATATGAGGATCTTATATGATCAAAATTTTGAAAAATTACAAATCAAAACGTCTTTTTCTTTAAATAAGACAAAGCCTAAAAGTATGCAGTAAGCATCACTAATATTAATGAGGTGTTACAATGGTTCCCAATCAATTAAAAAAAAATATGCTGTGGTTGTGGTCATAGAAATACTAGCAAGTATTCTAAACTACTATCAACTCTAATTAAAAATATGAAAGTATAAAATAGAGTATCACGTTCAAGAACAGAGAGGCTTTAATTATAATTAAGTTGCAGAGACCATTTTACTAAGAGCTCTAATCGGTTATTAGTAGCAGGATGCTCCAAAATGCTTTAATTAATACTGAGACATATTTCAATATATGGTAAAGGTTGCTAGAACATCGCCATATGTTAAAAATTGCTACATGGTGGTATTCTGTGTCTTATTTTAGAATTTGCTTACGTTCATTAGCAGAAGGTAAATGTTCAACGGTACTGATAGAAAAAAATCTTCCAGAACACCTAAAAGTATGCATTATAATAACTTGCGGTATTATAGGCAAGAATAAGTATATCTCCTTTGAAATTTGAGAATTTTTATTGCCTCAAGTAATCACATCTACACATTATGGTATTGGTTATAAGTACACTATTTTTATGTAAACTTTTGTAGATATAGGTCTGGAATATAAATAGCTGCCTCGTACAGTAGCTATTTAAGACAAGTGTAGAACCAAAATATTTATATGATTGTGATGTTTCTTACTCCTGGAAATAGGAAAATTCTTTGCAACGCCTAAAAGTATACACCATACATGACAAAGAAACTATATCGTCATATGGGGAATAGTATGAAATTATATTTCGATGTGTAGTTAGAGTGAAAATATACGTGGAGGAGACCATGAATTTGTCTTCAACAATTAGGAAAGGCAATGAATACTATTTTTTTACTTATTTTTTAAATATGAGAAACAGTTGATTATTCTACGGACTTTCAAGCCTACAAGGAGAAATAGTTGCTGGGTCTGTGGCCTACAAGGACCCTGTATAAAGCTTGTCATTTTTAATCTTTTTTTAATCCCGGTACCAAAGACTACAACTTCCGTAAATTATTATATCGGAAATATTTCAATTTCCCTATTGAATATTTTATTGCGAACACCCCCTCCACAAAGTCAATAACCTGGTTATGGTCTTAAATTTCACGAAGCCATTCAATCGCTATACAACAAAAATTTGCACTTGCTTTGAGCCATGTCTATTAGTTTATAATTGCATTTGCCAGATAATTATTATTCACACAAATATGTATATTATTAGTGGCAGCTAAGCATAACGGCAAGTGTTTATTTCCTTGCCGTTTTCCATGATTTCACATACACATACAACAAAAAATTAACATTTCCCTTTTAAAACTAAACAAAAACGAATTTTTCCTCAAAAAGCATTTCGTGGTTATTCAAAATTTAACAGCAAATTATTACAACACGTCATTGGTTTTGAAAAGCTTATATTGATTTATGTTTGTGGGGAAAGTTTTTTTTTTGGTTTTTTATAAAATATTTTTTTTTTGTTTTAAAAATTAATTTGTTTCAAAACTAAATTACAAACGGAACCATGAAAATTGTAAATAAAAATCTAAAAACTTTCTCTCTCTCTCTCTGTATCTCGTGCAGTCTATTCATTCCCTTGGTGACTCTATAGGATGTGTGCTGTGTGTTTGCTGTTTTGGATTTTCGCAACATTATTTGGAGGATTTTTGTTGTTGTTGTTGTCCGGGATAATACCACAGCAAAAGCCACCGAAAAAGTGTCTGTGTATAAACAAATTTGCAACAAGGCCAACAACAACAAGTTTAACAACAATAATTTAAATGTAATGCAAAGCAAACAAAATAGTAATAATAAAAACAGCAACAACAACAACCACAATTTTGCAACTAACTAAATTACAACTAATACCAGTTTTAAAAACATGACCATGTCTCTGGGCCCTTTGAATTTGCCGGTTTTTTTTTCGTGGCAAACAACCAACACTTTACCACTCGTACATTGGTATTAGGGAGTTGATGTTTTACAAATATATATACAGGCCCCACTAAACAATATTTGGTGTCAGAACAACAGCCCAAAACAAGTGCAATCATAAAGAGATGTGGACAAAAAATTTAGAACAGAGTATGTACAGAGAGGGTCGAAAAAAGGTATGAGAAAAATAATAATTTTTTTCTGCAATTAGAGAGGGAATGAAAAATAATTTCAATATATTTACGAAATCGTTTTGACGCCCACTGTGTATATAAAATATTATTTTTTTCAATTTTAATCAATATACTATTTTTTTGGGACTTTCGGTATATGAAACTAGTAATTTTTTTTTAAATCTGAAGAGGTTTTACATGCTGCTTCTTTTAGAAAAATAAAAATATTTTTTTTTTAAAGAAATATGTTCTTCCCTTTGTTACCCTCTGTAAATATGCAGTTTTTCGCTTAAAGCCAATGTTTATTGGAATTGTAAACATTTTGAAAACAGCTTAAAATTATGCTATGTACTTTTAACACTTTTACACTGGGGTTTTTATATTTTTGTCTGTGCACAAAAAATGCATTTCCATTTACAGGGTGGCTGGAAACTAATTTCCGTTTGCCCTCCCACCTCTACTCATAACAGAAAAAAAACACTCCTACACAAATACAATTTGATTACTAGGAAAATTGCAAAAACGTTTTTGATGGCATTTATATAGAGAGAGACCGACAGACCAACCAACCGACAGACAATTGAATTGAATTGAATTGAAATGGAAATGACCAAACTGTTTCTGTGTCCGTGCGTGTGATAATCTAATTGTACAACCACAAAAATGAGGTGAAACACTGTATTACAAACAAATCCTTGATTTTTGCTGCTGACGCTGTTGTTGTTGTTGCTGTTATTGTCATTTGTATTTTACTTTCATTTAAATAAAAATTGTGTTGTCCTGATGTTGTTGTTGTTTTTTGGTTGATTTGTTAAGCATTTGTATAAATAACGCTATTTAAATATTTGCACACCGAGATGTGAGTGTGAGCGTGTGTTTGTGTGAGAGAAAAATCGCGTTTTTTAAAAAAGGACCTTTTTTTGTTCAATTTCAGTTGTATCAGTTATCGTTTTTGTGAAAAAGGTATTAAGTACCCTGGTTAGTTGTTTAATTGGAATTTTATTTAAATGAAAGTGAGGCAATTTTTTTGTAACAAAACAGGGAAAAAAATTAAATAAATAAACAAATACGGTAAAGTAAACAAGGATTAAATTACAAAAATGTCCTTGAATGGAAAGGATTAAAGGGAGGACTAAACTATCTCTTTTGATAAAT